CTTCACTTCAGACTCTGCTTAAAGGTATGGCTTTGAAATTAATCATCCGCTCCGTTATAATACTTTATGTTTTACATTGGTGTCAGAGCCAATATGGGTATTTTCGTGCTTATATTCATGATATATGCATGAATATTAATAAAGGAGGAAGATGTTCACTCTCATTAGATTAAGAGCATAAAATACTTCATTTTTATGTTCATTAAATGTCATTTTTAATGCCATAAATGTATTTATTTTGGAAAATGGATTTTAAAATTCAATTAAAAAAATTATTATTAACAGAAAATAATATTAATCAATTTTTTAATTGAAAATACTACAAAGGAAATAATTTTTTTCAAAATAGATATTCAAAAAATTTAAATCATAAATATTTAAATAATTTAAATAATCTAAAAAATTTAATAAGTAAAAAATTTAAATAAATATTCAAAAAAATTAAATCTTAAAAATTTAAATAATTTAAATATTCAAAAATTTTAAATAATTTAAAATGTTAATATTTTAAATTTAAAAAAAACTCTATGCTCAAATCGTAACCAAACACATAAAACAAAACTCAATTAAAAAATTATTTTTAAAACTCATAACCAAACACATAACTCGAAACTCCATGCTACTTTCACAACTCTACACTCAAATCGTAACCAAATACATAACAAAAAAATTAAAATATTTAAAAATATTTTTATAAAATAGAGTTTGAATTTATTTTTATAAAATATTTTAAAATTTAAAAAATTAAAATCGTAATATTTTGAAATTAAAATATTTAAAAATATTCAAAAAATTAAAAAATTAAAAAATCGTAACATATTTAAATATTAAAATATTTTTAAAATATTGATTTGAATTGAGTTTTGAATTATGTATTTGGTTATGAGTTTTGAAAAGTAATGATTATGTTTTGAATTGAGTTTTGAGAAATGGGTGTAGAATTATGATTTGAAAGCTCAAAACAAACAACACACTCAAATCAATGGGTGAAACTATAATTTGAGAGGTTTACCAAACGGAGCCTATGATTTTTTATGAAAAATTATTAATGAGTGTGAGTTTTCTTTCTTTCTTTCTTTAGATTCATAATGTATTCAAAACTAATTTCAAATTAGTGGTAAACTTTATCAACTTTAATTATTAAGTCTATAAACTTTTTCATGAATTTACAAATATTTTGTGAAGTTTCAACTGATTTGCAATTTTTTCTTTTTTTTATAAGCCAGCAGATTAGAGGACAAACAAGTTGAGCTTTGTGCAAATTGCAAATCAATGAGAAGATAAAAAAAAATTAAAAAATTACAAACTTATGAAAAAGTTTATCACTTTAATGACTAAAGCAGATAAGTTTTACCACTAAAATATAATTTATTTTTCTGTCATACACTAAAATGCAATTTTCCCTTGAACTTTCAAGTTTTTCAAAAAAATCACCCTTCCACCATAATAGAGATGAGTTTATACAACTAAATAAATTATATTTTTTTATTAATTAATGTGATTTATCATATAAAATGTGTTAGATTCCATTTCAAATTTTAAAATTATATTATTGCATATCATTAAATAAATAAAAAAGACAATAAAGTTTATTAGTAATTTACAAAATGGTTAGGTTTTTTGCAAGTTTAAATTTGTATTTGAGAGAACTTGAGAGGCTCAAAAGGGCCCATCATGAGTCTATTTATATAATCTGAACGGTTCATTTTGTAAGGCTCTCAGTGTATATAATTCTTTAAAAAAATTATGTTGATATGATAATTATAATATTTTTATTTTATATGTTTGTTTCAAAAAAAAAAGGGTAATTAGTATGTTTTTTTATAGCGATCTAGGTTTTTGGGCCCGACCTTCACCGTATTCCAGACTTGGGTTCGCAATTTAATATTGTATTTGTGTTCCGTTTTTTCTCCTTTAACGCTTGAATTTGAGCTTTTAATTGTGTTAGGTGTGTTTGGGATTGGTTGGCCTTTAGTTGGTCCAAATAGTTCCTTCCCAGATTTTTGCTCTTGCGCTCGAGCGAAGCTTTTTGCGCTCGAGCGAGCTTGGTGAAATCTGCTTCTTCGCTCGAGCGAGATTTCTTTCACTCGAGCGAGTTTTGAGGGTCTTCAGGTTTCTTTCTCAAACGCAGTTTCCGCTCGAGCGAGCCTTCTGGCACTTGAGCGAGACTTGTGTATTCTTTCCTTCGCTTGAGCAAGAACTCTTGCGCTCGAGTGTGCGTCTACTTTTGTGGTAGACTTAAAGCTTTGAATTGTGCGCTCAAGCGAAACTTCTTGCGCTTGAGTGAGGTCAATTGTTGTGTCTGGTCACTCGAGCGACAAATCCTTCGCTTGAGCGAGGATCGCGATCTCAACTTTTTAAATATAACGATTCTAGATCATTTGGACACAATACCTTTCCTATTCTTCATTCCTTTTCTCTCCGTTTTTGAAACCCTAACTTTCTACCATCCAATACCTCTCATACACTTGTGATTCACCCAAAATCGTTTGCTAGGGGCGGAGAGCACTTGAAGAGGGTCATTCTCAACTGATTGGATTGTGGGTTTGTGGTAGATTCGTGAAGGGGCTTGGACATTTGGCTTTATAGTTGAGGTAGGGATACTTTTACCCTTGTATGTCTTCATTTTTTAAGGGATTTATGGTATTTAATGTGATTTGTGAACTAATTGAAGGTTTGGTGATATTGAACCCATATCCCTCATTTTTTTTTATTCTCTCATCTATCAATGGTTAGAAATCTTTCATATCTTCTTTTAAAAAATGACTAGAAATGTGATTGAGAAATTAGATTGGTGACAAAGAATGAGAAACCCCAAATTTGGTAAAACCCTAAGTTTCTAATTTAATAGGGATTACTTAGTGTGATGAAATTTCCTCTTGAATCTTAGACATGGATAAATAATGAAGAAATACAATGTAGACATTAATGTGATTAGAGAGAGATGGTGAGTTGAATGCTATGATTCTTTAAATCTTATGTGTTGTTTATCTATGGTCATGGTTGATGTTCAAATGTGGGATTGAGATGTGATTTAAATTGTTGATATGCATGAGTCCTTGTGTGTTTGTGTCGGTGAAGAGTAGAGATGGTGTTGTGTTGGTACTCGCGCGGGGAGTTTAAAAAGGTGCCCAATTGCCCTGTCTAGGCTTATCGCTGGATGAATGTGGGGAAAATATTTTTGGGTGTCCACACAGTCCCGTCGTATAGTAGCCGGTGGAAGTGAAAAAACGGATGATTTTCTTAGGGTGCCCACCTCCCGCCGTATAGTAGCCGGCGAATGTGGGGGTTGTCTTTAAAAGTAAAGGTTGTGATTGATTGGGTTCATGTAGAGAGGAGTGTGGTTTATTTCTCACGTTTCTGGATATTTAATTGCAGTACATTATGGATGTGAGTTGTATTTATCACATTATCTCAAAATACTTCCTTGTGCATTGCTGACTGTTTCTTATGAAAACAAATCTTATTAGAACATTTTATCTCATGGATGCCATTATCTTGTTCAAAGGATTAAATACATGGATAAATGTATTCCTACTGGGCACCTAACTCAACCCTAATCTAATTTTTCAGGAATTGATGAAGGGCAGTCTCATTGAAAGATTACTGGCTTTATCAACTTTTGGGAATTAATTGAAGTCAAGGATTCAAATAGTCATGTGTTCATTCTGATGCTTTTGTAACAATACTACTTTTTATGTTTTGTAATGTTGTATGCCCATGGGGCCTTATTTTTGTAAGTTGTCTAGTTCACTGAACCGAGAGAGAATATTTTGAACATCATGGGAGTGTAATGTATGTAATGTAAACGGTCAACTCTTTGTTCAATGAGAAAGATAACCTTGTGGGTGTTCATGAATATGGTATTAGTGTATGTTATTATTTGTTTCTTTAGGGCGTTACAAGTTGGTGTCAGAGCCATAGGCTCGAATACTTTGGGTTCGTGGGAAGTGACGTAGAACACAATTGGGTCCTTAGGTTAAGATGGAATGCTTAGGATATATTGTGTGCTATGTGTTTTTATGTGACTATAAGGATGTGGGGTTAGGCTCCTAGGATGTGGTTAGGTCCGTTGCATTTATCGAAATCCTATTGAAAGTGCACTTGATCACTATGCTTTCCACTTGGAGGTCCTTGATTGTCATGGATTTAGCTAACATCTAGGGAGGATGACTCGTGTATGTTTCTATGTGAATATTGAGTGTTTGTTTGAATTGATTGATGTATAACTGCATGAGGGTTGCACGGGAAGTGAACGTAGAGCACTTAGGTGCGGAAACTCGTTATTGAATTTAACCTTGTTTTTTTTATATAGATGTCTGGGCGTGCGAGGCCTCGAGGTAGACCTTATCGGGGTGGCAGGAATATTCCCGTTCAACCTGAGATCCCTCCGCAAGAGGAAGGAGCGGGTCAAAACAACATACCTATTCCACCAGCCCTAGAAGCTATGGGGGCTTTGGCGAGGGAGATGACAGGGGCTCTACGGGAGTCCATGGAAATATTGAGAGCCGAACAAGCGGCTAGGTCCATTGAGGGGGAAACAAGAGCTTCCTTTTTGAAAAAAAGAGTTCTTTTGTTCTAATCCGGCCGAGTACAGTGGTGAGCCCGGCCTAATGAAAGCTGATGAGTGGTTGGAGCAGATAGTCAAGTCTTTCGAGATCCTAGACATCCAGGAGCATGAGTTGCGAGTGGCGTTGGCAGCCTACCAATTGAAGAGGGAGGCCGGGCAATGGTGGAAATCCGTCAAGCATAGGGTTGAGCATACTTGGGGAGCATTTGTGCAAGCTTTCCAAGACAAATTCCTCCCTCCCACAGCTAGGAAGTGATTGAGGAAGTAGTTTGAGCAATTATTGCAACTAGATACACCAGTGGCGGAATATGAGGTTAAGTTCACTAGCTTATCTCGTTTTGCACCCGAATTGGTGGCTACTGAAGAGAGGAAATGCCTTGAATTTGAGAAAAGGTTAAGGCTGAAGATTTTGATGAAGGTGGTTGGGAACATGATCCGTGACTATGACTGTTTAGTTGAAGCGGCAGCTCATGTAGAGATCACTGTGGAAGCCGAAGAGGCAAGGAAAAAGTCTAAGAGATCAGGACAGTCTGATACCAGGAGTGACACGGGTTCTTCCAAGAGGTCCAGGGGTTCGTCATCATCTTGGCAATCATCTCCACAACAAGCCAAATCTTTAAGTTATGTGTCGGGTGGGAGTTTTGGAAACATGCCCCGAGTTACTGGTGCATGTTATAGGTGTGGCCAATTGGTCACAAGGCAGCGGAGTGTGGGCAGAAGAGTGGAGCACAGTCTCAGACGGTGCGGCCACAGGGTCAGTCTCAAAATAGGAGCTAGCCACAATCTTGTTATTAATGTGGACAGCCTGGGCATTTGAAGAAGTTTTGTCCACAAAAGACTGGGGTTTCGGAAGTGGTGGCATCTAGGCAGTCTGGAGGTTTACAGATGGGTCAAGGGCAGAGGCACTCATATCAGTCAACTCAAACAGGGCAAGCACCCAGGGCAGCTCAAGGAGCCACATCTGCTCAATCTACACCACAAGCTTATGTTTCGAGAAGTGACATGGGGGATCAGAGGTCACAAGGTAGGGTATATGATGTCACTACCTCCGAGCCAGCTACGGGGCCATCGGTGGTGAGAGGTACATTTCTTGTTTTCAATACTTGGGCTAAGGTGTTGATTGACACTGGAGCATCGCATTCATTTATTGCTATGTCTTTTGCATCATTGTTGGGGATAAAGAGTAGACAACTGCCGGCTTCGCTTACTGTAGAGTCACCAGTAGGGGGAAAGGTCATTCTGACCTGGGAATGTCGGGGGTGTATTATTGAGGTAGCTGGTCGACAACTCCTCGTTTAATTTTATATTATTGGAAATGGTGGGTTTTGATGTTAGTCTTGGAATGGATTGGTTGTGCACATATTGAGCGATAAAAGATTGTCATCGGGAGAGGGTTACCGTGTGTACTGCAAATGGTGATTGTTTTATGTTTTTGGGAGATAGGTGTGATGAGTCCTTACCCTTCTCTTACTACCAGCGTGGCCGGGGGCAGATGAATTTTCTATTGGCAACCCTTTGGGAGGATGGTAGTGACGTAATTCGGAAGGAATTCCCAAGGGTAGTATGTGATTACCTTGATGTCTTTCCTGAAGATCTCATGGAGTTGCCACCTCATAGGGAGGTAGAGTTCACCATAGACTTGCTTCCGGTTACGACACCTATTTCCTTGTCGCCATATAGATTTGCCCCAGCTGAATTGGTGGTATTGAAGGAACAGTTACATGATTTACTTAGTAAGGACTTTATACGCCCTAGCACTTCACCTTGGGGAGCCTCAGCTTTGTTTGCGAAGAAGAAGGATGGGTCCTTGAGATTGTGTGTAGATTATCGTAAATTGAATCAAGCCACGGTTAAGAACAAATACCCCTTGCCTAGAATTGATGACCTCTTTGACCAACTTAAGGGCTCTCGTTGTTTCTTCAAAATAGATTTAAGGTCGGGTTATCATCAAATTCGAGTTAGGGAAGAAGATATTCCCAAAACCGCCTTTCGTACTTGATATGGTCATTATGAGTTTTTGGTTATGCCTTTTGGTTTGACCAATGCCCCAGCTACGTTCATGGATCTAATGAATAGGATCTTCCGGGAATTCCTTGATAAATTTGTGGTTGTCTTCGTAGATGATATTCTTATTTATTTGCCTTCCAAAAAAGAACATGAAGAGCATCTTCGTACAGTTTTGCAACTTTTTAGGGAGCATCGGTTATATGCAAAGTATGAGAAGTGCGAATTTTGGCTTTCAAAAGTGAAGTTCTTGGGTCACGTAGTTTCGGGAGACGGGGTTATGGTGGACTCATCAAAGATAGAAGCCGTGTTAGAATGGGAGCAGCCTAAGAATGCCTTGGAAATTCGTTGCTTTCTGGGTTTAGCTGGTTACGACCACTGGTTTGCAAAGAATTTCTCTTCCTTAGCATCACCCTTGATAAGGTTGACCCGCAAGGAAGTGAAGTTTGTTTGGAATGAAGCATATGAGAACTCCTTCCAAGAATTAAAGTTTAAATTGACCACCGCTCCAATTCTCATCATTCCAGAACGAGGGTCAGGTTATACGGTGTACTGTGATGCTTCCAGAGAGGGATTGGGATGCGTTTTTAATGCAAAAGGGAAAGGTGGTGGCATATGGTTCGCGCCAATTGAAGACCCATGAAAGAAACTACTCGACACATGATCTAGAACTCGCAGCAATTGTTTTTGCTTTGAAGTTGTGGAGACACTACCTCTACAGTGAGAAATTTGAAGTCTTCTCCGACCACAAAAGCCTCAAATATTTATTCTCTCAGAAAGACTTAAACTTACGTCAACGGAGATGGATAGAATTCCTAGAAGACTATGATTTTGAGATACACTACCACCCCAGTAAAGCTAATGTAGTGGCGGATGCCTTGAGTAGAAAGTCGGCGAGTATGATGGCCAACCTAACAATGAATGAGTGGAAGATGATGGGGGACGTCAACGAGTTTGGTTTACAGTTTGGTGAGTCTCCAGAACAAGCTACCATTTTTACCACTGTCGCACAACCGACTCTTGTTGCAAAAGTAATTGAAGCTCAATTAGGGGATCCAAAAGTGGAAGCTATAAAAGAAAGGATTTATCTCGGAAAGGAAGAGAGGGGTTTAAATGTTTATGCGGACTCTAGTGTTCGTTATCTCGACCGGTTGTTTGTACCTGAATCAATGAGAAATGAGGTTTTGAAAGACTTTCATCATTCTCGTTTCGTTGTGCACTCGGGGGCACCAAAATGTATCATGATCTAAGCTGCCAATTTTGGTGGAGGGGCATGAAAAAAGATGTAGCCTCTTTTGTCTTCAAGTGTTTAACATGTCAACAAGTTAAGGCGAAACATCGAAGATCGGCAGGATTATTGCAGCCCCTTTTAGTTGCCGAATGGAAGTGGGAATACGTCAACATGGATTTTGTTTCTAGCCTCCATAGCACTCAGAGAAGTAATGATGCAGTATGGGTGATTGTCGACAGACTTACTAAGTCGGCTCATTTTCTTGCCATGAGTATGGGGGACTACGTAGAATATTTAGCGGAACTTTATGTTTGTGAGATTGTTCGCCTCCATGGAGTGCCAGTCAGCATAGTGTCAGACAGGGACCCTCACTTTACGGCCAGATTGTGGTAGAGTCTTCAAAGTGCCTTGGGAACTCAATTAAACTTTAGTACAGCATACCACTCGCAAATTGATGGGCAATCCGAACGTGTTATTCAAATTCTGGAAGATATGTTGAGGGCCTGTGCACTAGATTTTAAAGGGTCATGGGAGAAGCATTTACCCCTGGTGGAATTCGCGTATAACAATAGTTTTCAAGCCAGTATTGGAATGGCACCTTTTGAGGTGTTATCTGGGCGTCCGTGTAGATTGGCAGTATGTTGGACTGAAGTGGGAGATTCATTTTTGTTGGGCCCGGACCTAGTTCGTGAAACCACCGAGAAAATTACCCTCATTCGTAAACGATTAATCACCACTCAAAGTTGGCAAAAGAGTTATGCAGACAGGAGAAGACGACCCTTATCCTTTGAGATAGGCGATCATGTATTTCTAAAAATCTCCCACAGGAAGGGCTTGATGAGATTTGGCTGAAGTGGGAAGTTATCACCAAGGTTTATTAGCCCCTTTGATATCATCGAACGGGTTGGAGAGGTGGCGTACCGTCTTGCATTACCTCCTCAGCTTTCAAGAGTTCATAATGTATTCCATGTGTCTATGCTCCGTAAATATGAACCTGACCCCTCCCATGTGTTAGACTGGACAAAAATCAAAGTAGACGAGGAAGTATCTTACGAACAGAAGCTAATCCAAATTCTGGATGCATGAGAACAGGTGTTGAGAGGTAAGACAATTCTCCTAGTCAAGGTATTATGGTGTCACCACAGGGTAGAGGAAGCAATGTGGGAACGAGAAACCGAAGTTCGTGAGAAATATCCCGAATTATTCTCAAATTTGTGATATATTACACTTCTTTCTTTTCTTAAGTAATTAATGACGTTGGTACATTGAGCCACAAATTCCTAATGTCATTTGTTTTGATCATGAGTTAAGGTGGTATCATGTCTACCTTGGATATTGTAAATGTATTTGTGTTCATTCAAATAGTTGTGGTGCTAAAAGTAAGCTATATTTCCTCTTATTCCTTGTTGTTGGCACCTTGGTTTATGCAAAGGTATATATGTATGATAATTATGGTTGGAATTGTTAACAGGGATGAATAGTTCAAAGAAGATGATAGAAAATGAAAATGTACGTATCTGCATTTGTTGAGATTGCCTTATGTTTATTAGGTTAGTGACGATGATTAATTTCGGGGGCGAAATTCTTTTAGGGGGGAAGATTATGGCGATCCGAGTTTTTGGGCCCGACCTTCATCGTATTCCGGACTTGGGTTCGCAATTTAATATTGTATCCGTGTTCCGTTTTTTCTCCTTTAATGCTTGAATCTGAGCTTTTAATTGTGTTAGGCGTGTTGGGGATTGGTTGGCCGTTAGTTGGTCCAAATAGTTCCTTCCCAGATTTTTGCTCCTTCGCTCGAGCGAAGCTTCCTGCGCTCGAGCGAGCTTGGTGAAATCTGCTTCTTCGCTCGAGCGAGATTTCTTTCGCTTAAGCGAGTTTTGAGGGTCTTTAGGTTTCTTTCTCAGACGCAGTTTCCACTCGAGCGAGCCTTCTGGCGCTTGAGCGAGGCTTGTGTATTCGTTCCTTCGCTCAAGCAAGAACTCTTGCGCTCGAGCGTGCGTCTACTTTTGTGGCGGACTTAAAGATTTGAATTGTGCGCTCGAGCGAAACTTCTTGCGCTCGAGCGAGGTCAATTGTTGTGTCTGGTCGCTCGAGCGACAAATCCTTCGCTCAAGTGAGGATCGCGATCTCAACTTTTTAAATATAATGATTCTAGATCATTTGGACACAATACCTTTCCTATTCTTCATTCCTTTTCTCTCCCTTTTTGAAACCCTAACTTTCTACCATCCAATACCTCTCATACACTTGTGATTCACCCAAAATCGTTTACTAGGGGCGGAGAGCACTTGAAGAGGGTCATTCTCAACCGATTGGATTGTGGGTTTGTGGTAGATTCGTGAAGGGGCTTGGACATTCGGCTTTATAGTTGAGGTAGGGATACTTTTACCCTTGTATGTCTTCATTTTTTAAGGGATTTATGGTATTTAATGTGATTTGTGAATTAATTGAAGGTTTGGTGATATTGAACCCATATCCCTCATTTTTTTTTTATTCTCCCATCTATCAATGGTTAGAAATCTTTCATCTCTTCTATTAAAAAATGACTAGAAATGTGATTGAGAAATTAGATTGGTGACAAAGAATGAGAAACCCCAAATTTGGTAAAACCCTAAGTTTCTAATTTAATAGGGATTACTTAGTGTGATGAAATTTCCTCTTGAATCTTAGACATGGATAAATAATGAAGAAATACAATGTGGACATTAATGTAATTAGAGAGAGATGGTGAGTTGAATGCTATGATTCTTTGAATCTTATGTGTTGTTTATCTATGGTCATGCTTGATGTTCAAATGTGGAATTGAGATGTGATTTAAATTGTTGATATGCATGAGTCCTTGTGTGTTTGTGTCGGCGAAGAGTAGAGATGGTGTTGTGTTGGTACTCGCGCAGGGAGTTTAAAAAGGTGCCCAATTGCCCTGTCTAGGCTTATCGCTGGATGAATGTGGGGAAAATATTTTTGGGTGTCCACACAATCCCGCCGTATAGTAGCCGACGAAAGTGAAAAAACGGATGATTTTCTTAGGGTGCCCACCTCCCGCCGTATAGTAGCCGGCGAATGTGGGGGTTGTCTTTAAAAGTAAAGGCTATGATTGATTGGGTTCACGTAGAGAGGAGTGTGGTTTATTTATGATGTTTCTGGATATTTAATTGCGGTACATGATGGATGTGAGTTGTATTTATCACATTATCTCAAAATACTTCCTTGTGCATTGCTGACTATTTCTTATGAAAACAAATCTTATTAGAACATTTTATCTCATGGATGCCATTATCTTGTTCAAAGGATTAAATACATGGATAAATGTATTCCTACTGGGCACCTAGCTCAACCCTAATCTAATTTTTCAGGAATTGATGAAGGGCAGTCTCATTGAAAGATTGATTCAAGCACTGGCTTTATCAACTTTTGGGAATTAATTAAAGTCAAGGATTCAAATAGTCATGTGTTCATTCTGATGCTTTTGTAACAATACTACTTTTTATGTTTTGTAATGTTGTATGCCCATGGGGCCTTATTTTTGTAAGTTGTCTAGTTCACTGAACCGAGAGAGAATATTTTGAACATCATGGGAGTGTTCAACTCTCTTGATCCATGAATAAACTCACAAAGAAATCACAAAAATAAACTCACAAAGAAATCAAAGAAAAAAAGGGCACAAAACCTCTAGAAGAAAACCCTAAAACCCCAAAAAGAATATCTGGAAGTCACACCCTAAATTTTGACTGAAATGCAGATTTATAGCAAACAGATCCGTAATC